TATATACATATTGATTATCTTTATATGCGTTGAAGATTAAAAGACGTTCCTTATTTTTGCTGTATGTTACAGAAAACTTGGCGCCATCCGAATTGAAAAAACTAAGAAACAAACAGAGGAAACAGCGCAGAAAGGCCGAACTCGAACGACAACAAGCCGCCCAGGCTCAAGAGAAAAGAGAGCAACATAACAAATCTCGGCAGCAGAATGACTCTGATCTTGAACAGCCCACACTAGACGAATTAATTCCGGAAAAACTGGAAAGGGTTAGTTTAAACAGTGAGATGAAAGAAGAATATTGTCTTTTAAATCATTTTGCCTTATCATTTAAAGCGTTGACGTTGAAATATTTTTTATGCTAAATATAATAAGAGACATAAAAGAGTACACTAGTCATAAAATTAAAAAAAATTCTTGTTCTGATCTTGGTAACGTCATGCAAAGTAAAACTGATAAAATCAGTAAATAAATCTTTTTAAATCTTATAACTTTTATTTGAAACATTTTTTAATGAAATTTATATCTTTCGAGATATTCTGGAGTCTCGACCTTTTAAATATCTCATATAATTTCTTTAACAGTAATTAAATATATTTTTTCAGGTTGAAGATCCATTGGAACAAGCAATAAAATTTTTACAGCCCTTGCAAGAATTGGCGTCGAATCGGATAGAGACGCATCTCATGGCTTTCGAGATATATATTCGGAAAGGTACTAAAAATATATTTAATAGCGCACACACATAAATCAAGTTGCAATTGATGAAAATTATTTTATGAGACTGATTAACAATAAGTTGGCGCGAGATAATAAATATCTGTTTCTCTTACAGGTCGTACTCTTCTCATGCTACGCTCGATAAAACGCGCTCATAGGTTGGACATGAATAATCCAGATCTACATACGTGTTTAGTGCGTTTTCTGTTACACACCAGTAAATCACCGTTGGAAGGAGCAGTAGGCGAGGTAGTGAAGCGTCAGACCGCCGGAATCTTTTCCAGTACGAAGGCAGCTCAACTAAATGCCGAGTACTTGAAGAAAAACAGAAATTCATTGCCGCATCTGCTGCAAGGCGCAAGGATGTTGTACGTCCTGGACCCGTCCGCGCAGATGAAGGCGCTATCCCTTGTGACAAGCATCGAAGAACTCGAAGGCATGACGCTACAGAACTGCACGAAAGTGCTTGATGCATTGCGCAACGGCGACTTCGGACACTGTGACGATACGATAGCCGATTACATGACGAAATGCCACGTGCGATTCCCATTCGCTACCGCGTTTCGGCCGCCCGAACCGAAAACCAACAATCATCAAGAGAAAGAGAATTCAATCAAAAACTGATCCAGGTACGCGCTATTGCAGCGTCACTGAATCTATTATCGTAATTAGACAAGTCTATGGAGAGCCGGGGTACGGAAGCGTTCTTCTGATCTGCGCTAGAGGACGTTAAAAATCAAGTTTTTGGTGCCGTGGTAAAAAGACGAAACGAAATTGGCAAGATAATTAATCGAGTAAAGCATGTGTTACATACGAACTGTTCTTCGAGATATTTCACGTAGTGCGAACAGTGCTGAGACAATGCTGGATAAAACAATCCTAATAAATTATAATGCAACGAGGTGCGGACCGCCTATAAATTCTGGAACGGTCCAGGAATTTTACAGGAAGGAAAATAATGAGAAAAAAGAGAGGACGACTTAGCTAAATATTAGTTAACAATCGAGATCGATTAATTTGACACGTTCCGCTTATCGTGAGCAGCGACGCTAAATACGAGGGGTGGGATGAGGATCGGGGATGGGAGGGGAATAATCGATGAAAGTGCGGACTGTTTTGTGGTACGGGACGTGCAGTGTGTAAAATAACACGTGCGAGTTAACACATTGGTACAAAAAGACAAGACTTGTATACATACATACGCGCGCTCTAAAGCGAATATTTCTACTCGACTTAAGGTGTACAATTTCCAGCGATGCCTACATAATACTCTACTATGTAGAGGCTGCAAAACGCTAGATGATCATCGAAGCACCAAGTACTGTACCGTGCATGTCCGTCGTCGCATTTTGGATGGACTCCGTTCCCACATCGTGTACTAACTTCTGGTTCGCCTCATCCGTGAACTGTTGATTTCAATGAACAAAATGATTCTAATGCTTTTTTTTCTAGACACATTTTATTTCTGCGTTTTTTGCCCAGGGTAATGATCTACGTTTGGATTGGAGCCCTGATATTCCATCGAGAAGTCAATAAGGAAGTAGTGTCCGTTTGCGAAAGTCTCTGTGAAAGTTACTATAGGAACGATAAACTGCGTTTTGTATACGCAAACTACCAAAGTATATCATAAATCGAAAGGCCGTTAGTGTGTTAATAGCGAATATCATCGTACGTATGTACATCGACGGATTGCGGAAATTTTAATAAATACAAGGTTTTTAAAAGCCTACCGGTACAAGTCAAAGGATGTTATAATTACCTCGTTTGAATTCCGAAAATAACGCTGCATATTTATAAGTTTTCAGTTTTCCCATAAAAAAATTTTTTTCGGTACGAGATGACATAGATACTATCGAGATATTAAATAATATTTGTACATATTTCAGGTACTATATCAATAAGTGTATAATGTCTTATGACTTTCTTTCGAATGAGCGACAAATGAGTTCGCCGCCGATTAATATTGAATGTTTATCACCTACTCAAACGTCATAACAATAATCATAAACATATAGTAGATATACGTTTTGATTGTATTAGTTATAATATATATTTACCTCCCCAATCATCCGCGTAAAATATATTATCACAAAATGACGAGTGGTGAGTCGATGGAATAATTTAACAAAGTAAGATCGGTTGTCCTCAAATCATTTTTTTTTTATTATTCCTTCCGTAAATGCATGGAAATTTTTTTTTCTCGAAATTATAGAATTGTGAGATTAAGAAAAAATTTAATGTAATCGCTTTTGTTTGAATGCGATGAAATTACTCTAGAGCTGATAAAAGAAGAAACCGGTAAATATTAAGTTGACTCCTGAAACAATATGAACTATTGGGTTGTCCGGAAAGTTCGATGTTGAAGGAAAATTGAAACGCAAAAAATTAAAATTTTAGTATACATTTATTAAATTATATAGGTTAGTCGGCACGAACTTTCCGGACAACCCAATATTACATTATTGTGTATATTTCTATTTAATTTATTAAAAGCAATTATTCGATTTCATGACCTATTGAAGAATTTACTGAAGAATTTAATATTGTTAAATTTTTTATTCTTCATTTGAATATCTTTTCTATAAAAGTATGAATGAACTCTGTACGTAATTTTCATGTGTTCATCACATATTAATTGCTCCAATCTTTATCGAAGGTTATTACCTCGATATAAAAACTTTTATCACGCGCATATATAGACAGACATCAAAAAGATAGAAAATAAATAATGCTAATTGCGAGTTGCATTCAAATTTATATCGAGAACTGAATCTAGATTCGCCTTTCAATCCCCAACACAAAATTGCACGACAAGTGTTTGCAAGTTAGCTTGGGTTTTTCTCTAAACCATATCTTCTTCCATTTCTATAATTGGAATTCATCACACAGAATTAATATAATTCTATTCTAAAGAAATATCTTATGTAATTAAATAATTTTGTGTACAGATATGATTTGAACACTACTATGATATAATCAAATTTTTGGCATTTTATATTATTTTATAGTAATTACAAAGATCTACAAATTTTCGAATTTCTATCAACATTTAAAGATGATGTAATTAATGTGAATAGTTGTAACAATTTACTTGCTCACTCTAACGTGTATCAAATATATAACAAAAGTGAAAGAGTGTTCATGTGAATCGTGTAATGCCAATATTTTATTTCGATAAGCGATTCGACATTCTAAATCTTATTTATTGATTTATACTATATTAATATACGATTATAACATAGTATTCTATAATTAACATAGTATATGCTATAATTTCAATTTTCTACAATATGTAAAATAACTTCTATGTGATGAATTCAAATTCCGCAATGTATAATCATGCTCATTGTCTCTAACATCCTCACATATTCATAACTGAGGAAATAAGTGAAATAGCATTTTAATTGAATGAATTTGAATATGTATAGTATGTACATAAAACACGTATTAACACACGCGCATATACATATATATATGTATCAAACGTCTTTATTGTTTAATCGTTTCCTTTTATTATTATATTGCATCATCATGGAAACATTATATCATGTAAAACTGATCTACCTTTACTCCGCTTAATTCGAAGAGAAAATAAACATTGTTACATATTTCTATTATGCCATAAGAACATTGTGTCACTGTTTACATTTGTACAGCTGATAACACGCATAAACAGAGAGTTGTGTCATATACTTAAATCTATCTTAGTCTTATTGCAATTGTTTTGCTTTCTGTACATTGTTTTATTTATTTTTTTCACATCACTTGGTTAATCAATATTAGAAAACGGGATTATCATATGAAGATTGAGGAAAGAGGCAGGTTTGCTTAGCCTGCATTTGTACCTACTCTTAATTAATACTTTTATATGTAAATATTAGTGTCTCTCTCTAAACTTCCAAAAAACAAAAAACCAAAATCAATATCCAGCAATACAATCATAAGTTGTATTTTCACGTGCTATCTGATGGTTAACATTATTTGAAAAGGATTCATTCTATGAAATGTCAAGTGAAAAAATAAATAAATGAATAGAAACACATGAAAAGAGACAACAATTTTTTTATTGCTTACCACAATGATAGAAACAAAATACCTCTCAATTTTTATTAATTTATTAATTATTTTCTGCTAAATAAATATTTTTATATATACTTAATAATCTTTTAAGATATTTATTCTATAAAAAAATAATAAATAAATAAGATACACACACACATATCCATCATTAAATTAAATTTATTCATGTAAGATACAACAATAGTGATATTGATTCTCATTTCTTAATCTTCTTGTTTGGTCGGAGTTTGCGGTAATTGGTTCATCTCAGTCCAATTAATATCGCTGAAATTAATTTCTATTTTTTGATTCTTTGGGATGTACTGCCTAAAACAAAATTTAAAAAAATATGTCGCAAGATCTTTGCTATCACAGTAATAAATTGATGCAGCAATTTCAAAGAATAAGCACCTATACATTACACCCGCAGCATCAAACATTCTTTTTGCGGCTATTGTCTCGACTTTATAAGCGTATTTATCGGACATGTAAATCACAGTTTTTATGCCGGACTGTATTATTACTTTCGCGCACTGGTTGCACGGAAATAAAGCAACATATATTGTGCAGTCTTTAACGTTGCTCGAATTTTTGTTTAGAACTGCATTAACTTCCGCATGACACACTACAACCCAACGTCAATAGATTGATTAGTGCTTTTGATAACGAAATAATCCTAGGCAACACAAAGTTTAAAATTGGGATATAAGACGTTTTAGAAATATTTTAAAAACATTTTTGCGAGAATCGTCTATGTCATATGTTCCGATTTTAGACTTCGTGTTGTCTATGGAAATTACTGTTTCATACATTTGTAAAAAAATTGTTTATTATATGTATTATACCATAAAGATATTTCGATTCTAAACTAGTGTGGGGACCCCTTTTCCAAGGGAACTCATCATCATTACATCCTGTGGGCATCCCATTGTACCCGATACCGACGATTCTCTTGTCATTATTAACGATACATGCACCGACCTGAGTGCAAGGATCTTTGCTCCGTTTAGCAGAAAGGAATGCAATGGCCATGAAATATTCGTCCCAATCAATGTACGTCATTCTTTTAGAACTGTCTCTATATATTGATAAAACCAATAATAATCGAATTATGAATACAAACATCTATAAAATATATCTATTCCTATATTATATACTTATTACAGGAATAAATATATTTTTCTATTGAAATAAAAATATACCGTTCGCATAATGTTCCAGCCATTGCCAGTTAAGCCTTTATTTAAATTTCTCACAAGAGCACAGATCAGGTATTAAATATTTTTATATTATTATCTAAATATCGTTAGGCAGATATAACGGGCGTTTGAAAAAAACTTAACCTATACGTAGAGAACCAGAACCAGGAAATGTGGAGAATTCCCGCCAATTGTCATCTAAACTGATGAGAATCACGCATACGATACAAAGATTCCAAAGGATCGATTGAACATGTTTGAGCCGGTAAAGTAGTCTGCTCGCTGAGTAAACGCTGCGTGGATAAGTATTATTAAAATAATTATAATCCGTATATATTATGCTATGCGAGTTTGTATTATGCTTTCGAAATAATATAAATATATATAAATTAAAATTTTTTTCTCAACAGAAATTATATATTAATATTTGTCTAAACGTAAACGTAATCTGAAATAAATTAAATCGCTAATAAAAAAATAAAGTAAAATTTAAAAACAAATATACTAACATAAGTTAGTAAAATATAGGATAAAACAGCTAGCAACATTATTTACGTCAACAAGTAGGTTAACTCAGACAGTAATAATATTTACAAAACATAATATTTACAAAATATTTATAAGACTTATTTTAAATATTTTGTAAATATTTTTGTGAGCTTAGATTACACAGACTATAAACATTTATTATAAATGTTATGAAATATTTATTGTAAATGTTATAGTAAATGCTATGAAAATACTTACTGAGACATTATAATCCAAGTAAAAAAATACTTATTAGAAATATTTATTTATATTTATCATAAATATTAATCATAAAATATTTAGTCAATATTTTAATATTTCGAATAAAGCTTTATATAAAATATAAATACATTTTGAAATTCTGCAAATATATTTTTGTATTGAAATAAAAATGTACCGTTCATATGATGTTCCAGTCATTACCTTTAATTAAATTTCTTTATTTAAATTTCTCACAAGAAAAATTCTCACAGATCAAATATTAAATATTTTTGTATTATTATCTAAACTTAAAATCATTAGATAGATATAACGGGCCTTTGGAAAAAACTTAATCGAACTTAAAATTATCGATTACAGACGTTATAATCGAATTAGGTATAAAGTCGATAATTTTCTCATAGAATAAAAGTTGATTTAACGACTCTGATTTTCCCTGTATAAACATTATTATCGATAATCAGTAATATTGCGCTCCTAATTTATCTACCATTTTATTTTACAAAAGATAAATTTAATTTACTTTATTACTACTAAGATAAGTTTAATTTACTTTATTTTTTCGAAGAGCTTCTTAATTTTAATTATATCATCAACAAAGCGCGAAAGATAGATTATTTTACAAAAATTTATTATATTTAACAATCAAAATTTGAACGATCGTACAGTTATGATGTTATTTTATTAATAATAATATTGAAAATCAATAAAATAACAGAATAATAAGAAACAAAGATATTGCATTATCTAGAATTGCAGGATCTTATCACATTCCGAGAATTATGATTTAAAAAATTTGAAACTTTACCTTTGACACCAAGTCACGACCAAAAACTCTGAAAATTAACGAAGTATCAGAAAATAATCGGCAAGAAGTTAGTAGAATTCTTTAAAACGTAAAGAATTCTTCAAAAATTACTATTATTAAAAAATGTGATTCGGAGAATAAAATTTAAGTCTTATGATTTCAACAACTGAACTATTTTCTATGGAACACTGAAATATGAAAAATTTTAAAAGATCCTACAAAAAAGATTAAAATAATATATTACATAATTTTTTATTCTTAGTTAATAATAATTATCTAAGTTTACATTAATAATTATTAACATAATTTCTTGTTATTTTAATAAGAAAAATGTTTAAACAATATAAAATTGTATATAATTAAAACAACTAACTAAAATATTATTTTTATTTCCTATATTTTATATATAGAATATTTTTTATATATGATCTTTATATACAAGAGTTATCACAGCTTACATCCAAGTTACAGAAACATCTTGTATAGTGCTACAGTTATCGATTAAGTCTTTCAGAATTCAGTTATTGACGAGATTCGAGATCTGAGATACTCTTAATTAGAAAGACCTTGCTAATATACGCAGTCCACTATAATGTTTGCTGTATGACTTGCGCAAGACACGATAATGTCTCGTGATTCTGTTTCTTACGATTACTTAACCAATTTCATAATCGTTTTTTAGTTTAAAAGATGATTATTAAATTATCCGTCTTTCAAGATAAATTCATCAAAACCTCAGAGAGAGAGAAAGAAAATATCTCGTATTTTCAAAGGATTTTTCACTTAATTGTTCGATGCTTTAATACTCAAATAACGAATTCATAAAAATTATAAAAGTTTTAATATTTTAAAATAATTTTTTCATTTTTTCATTTTATAATTAAAACGTTACATTACATTAAAAATAATTTTATAAATAATAATTCTTGTTAAGAGGCAGATTTACAAGGTTGTCACAAATTCCTCCTGATTTCCTGAATTCCATAACTTTTTCCTGATTTTCAGACAAAATTTTTTGATTTTCCCTAACTTTTAATAACATTTTGAAATTTTATGTATTTTCGTCCTGATTTGGAAACCATTAAATATATTGTTGAGAAATCAATTTAATATTAACATAGCAATATAAATTACTATTAATGTTGCTGACACTGCTTACATTTTTAATTGTTAAAACGGTAGTATTCCATAAACTGCGTAGATGTGATATTAAACTTATATTAAACTTCTTTAAAGCCAAGAATTTTAATTTTTCAGAAAATTTTGCAAAATTCCCTGACTTTTTCCTTATTTTCTTGACAATGTTCTGATTTCTCTGACTTCCAGTTTTGTGGCAATCCTTATTTAAATGTCACGCAAACTCAATTATGCTTGTCGTAGGAGCAGCTTGATATTTGTACAAGGGTGAACTTTTTGTATGAATTAAACTAATTCGGTTTATTGATCTGGCGACAAGATATCAACAATAGGAGCATGGTACAATCGATAAAAGCTGTAATAATCTGTGCATGGCAGAGCTTAGGACCGAGTCTTCAGACACGCCAACCGGCAGTTCCTGGTACCAGTTCATCTTAGGTTCTAAATTTTTCAACTTGAATTTCACTTCTCTTCCATGAATTTCAGCGTTTTTTTAGAAACTAAAAGATGATAGTATGCTTAGAACATCTACCACAAATTAAATAACGTAAATAAAATTCAATATCTTGCATTGCAGCATGTAACTCACATCAGTGACGAATTTCGAGATGTTAGTTTTTTAGCTCATATTTCAGCGATGCAAAATTTAGAGAAATATTTATTTAGAAATATTTTAAAATTGTCTAATATCAGGAAATTCGTCGCTGCGCGACATTTTATACACGAAGGATATCTCGATCGTCAGTTTATTCCTTTTTGTGGGCTATGTTCCAATTATACCGTTGTTTGATTGTTGCAATGCTATGACATTATGGATTTCCGTATGCACGCATTTTATCATACCGCTATTTCATATCCAGAGTCCGTGTAGTTTCAGGATATACATATGTGTATTATTATTTATGATTACAGAGAAAATGTTTCGTTAGCGGAAGAAGGCGCGTCTTGCTGCATAATGCGGTAATTCCGTATGAAGCATATCTCGCATTCGCTCTACGATAGATTCTATATTTTTTTTATTGTACAGCCTATTTGTAGAGACAATATTTTTTATATTTCAATTCCATTTCGGTTATTACTACGAGTGTTCGTCGCTTCTTCTTTGGCCTCACATATATTAAAATGAATAGTGTGCGTAATGCTGCATATGTATGTACTTTTACCTTTACAGAGGCATGTATTCGCGAGTAAAAATACGTGTAGGCAATTGTGACTAACAGATCTACTTCCGGTTCCGCGAGAGGAGCAGCGCCACTGCGCCGTGACAATCTCTCAGAAGACAATTGAAAACTGAAAACTCGTTTTTCATGTCATGGGAAAGAAAAAGATGAAATATAATTATACTTACTGCCATCTCCAAATGATTACGCTATGTTTACGGAAGGAAGAGATGCTGTCGCACGATAGTGGAGAAATTCAATGTTACACATAATGTGACACATAATTTGACGGATGAATTGCATTTTTAAAGAAGGAAGTCCTCTGCGCTAAACTTCTCATCTAACCTAGTCTAACCTGGTCTAACCTATCTAATTCGAGGTATTTCTTAGATTAAAAAAAATATAAATATTACATTAAATATTGATTCTTTCAGTAACTACATAAACATTTAACTTTAATTTAACTAATAGTCTTTAAAACTATCCAATTAACACAAATTAAAAATAACGTAATATCCCAGAGAGTAAAAAGTCATCTAAAAGATTAAATTGATATAAAGATATCTTTAGTGAAAGAATATAGTCGACGAAAAAATGACTATATAATGTCATCTTATCCATACAATAACTAAAGGATGACTTCTTTGGATATCTTTTAATCATCTTTAATATTTTTTTTAGTTTTTATATTTTTATACATATAACATTTAATAACATCGAATTTCTAAATTAATTTTTACACAAAACGAAATAAAATTGACAATATTGCTGACAATATTGACTGACAATGTATGTCCTATTTCATTTTTGCCACGTCCTATGTACAAGAGTGATTATAGTTCCCTTTGGGGACTCGATTACAAAAAAAAATTTATTGGTATTCATTAAAACACGTAAATTTTCTTCTATAAATAAAATTTCTTATAATGCTGCACCTTTTATTCTGTTCTTATGATTTTCAAACACGAGAAACTGAACTCCATCGCATTCATCTAGTGGTGATCTCGCGTACTGCTCGCGAATGAGTGATAAAAAGTATCAAAATAACCAAAAGATATTTTTTTCATGTCGTCTTTTCGGCAATACGAAAAGATATCTTTTAGTCAACCTTTTGCTTTGCGAAAATGATAACCATAGAAAAATGTCTTTTAAATTATCTTTTTGACAAAATTAAAAGATGTCTTGACATCTTTTAGTCTTACTGAAAGGACAATTTAAAAATAATGTCTTTTCGTTATCTTTTAGACATCTTTTTGCTTTGTCGGAAAGACAACTTAAAAAAGATCTCTTTTTATCTTTTAGTATTTTGTGCTATCTGGGATTATAATGTTATAATTTTGCAACAATATATATGTAATACACCACATGATGTTAGATGATAATTACATTGTTGAGTGTGAAATATAATAACATATTGTTTCAGTTAGTGTCGACTGGATAGAGATATTCAATTTTTAGTATCATTTTGAGACATTTTTTTCTTGGATAATTTTAATTTTTCATGTTTGATTGTTAATTTATTGAATAATGGATAGAATAATGGTTTCTTTAAATATTATATCTTGAATATATTATTTTAAAAACTACATTTTTTTAAAATTTGCAATCACTATTGCAATATTCTACAATATTTACAAAATCATATTAGAAATTTATTGTTATTGATATATGTACATATATAAGTACATATAATATTAAAGCTACATAAATCAGATCTTTCACTCGCATGACATTTTAAATCGTCTCTACGTAGCTCATAAAAGAATATGTGTGGGCGCGGCATTGTAAGCACGTTTTATGCTACGTCTAATATTGGCAGGAAAAGGAACCAATAAACGGATCGTCAGTAATAGAGCTAGCATGCAATCAGCAGTCAATGACTATTGATTTAAGATTACGTTCCGATCAAATCGTGAGAGAATTTCGCGATCTAGTCGACCTATTTGCGTATAAAATTCGGTATCCAGTTGTTGCTATCGATTTGAATGCATCAGCAATTCTCCTTTATAAGCCCAGCTTCTTTTCATAACGAAAAAGATTATTATTTCGGAAAGAAGGTATTCGACAAATATTTTCCGAGTGTATACGAAAAATTTCTTTGTGATTGATAATGAATGAATCAGTAAGATTCTGATTACATCAATTGGTCATTATAATTGGATATCTTTATTTTAATTAAAATTATAATAGATTTAATCAGAAAATTCTAATTTGTTAATTTTCAACTAGAAATTTTTCTCAGTATATATAATCTCACAATTAGATTGCGAGATTTTATTTCATTGTTCCACAAAACGCGGTGTAAAACTCTTTTCACTAATTAACGTTTCTAAAATATAAATGCGGCCACTCATGCCGTGCTCCTCGGGGAGTCGATACAGCCGGTTGATTCTACTTGTCACGTAATGCACTGGCATTTAATCGAGGCCGCCGCTCGGGAAATCGACGCTTTCTGCACGAACATATTTCTTCTGTCAGAAAAGGGTCCGATTCGAGGTGGAGGCGAAATCCCTTCCAATGATTTCTTTCTAAGTGGGGAAGAGAACCATTTTCCAATACGAAGTAAGAATACATTTTTCCTTTAATTTTTCAGACAGATTGTCTCTCTTTCATAAAATAATACGTACAGATTTCTTTCTCAACCTTTATGTACCTTTATCATTTTTATCGTATTTTAAACAGGAGAAATTTCATTTCACGCGATTGGCTCCTCCTGCATAATTTCATTGAATCGACCCATTTAAAAATAGAGTCGTCGACGCTTTCTCGTCGTTACATAAAGGACCACAGCGAGACTATTTATTTGCTCTTCTCTCGACGCGGCATGTACAAAAACCGCAATCCTTCGCACCGACACCGGTCGTTCTTTGTTTTCCGCTTATTCCAGCGAATACATATATATCCTGTTTTATTCAGAGCGCCGAAACTCTCGCGCGCGGTCCAGAGAGGATCGTGAGGATATTCGCGGTAGGTGCGGAGGATGTCGAGTATTGATTAAGGGGGTTTGCCGGGAGGAATCTCTCTCTCTTTCCTCACGGGTAGGTCTGGCGTCGTTCCTCGCCGTAAACGCACGGGGATGAATGGGGCACGGTGGGGAACGCACGCACCGAGGTGCGTCTGCGCCGCACGCAGTGCTCCGATGCGCTTTACTCGAACCGGGTATACCACGGCCCACGGTCTGTGGTTCGCCGGGACGGTGCACGTGGTTGTTTGTCGGCTGGACAGTGCTGGATAGAAGGGAGGGAAGCGGGATCAAGCGGACGAGGGAGATTCGGCAGCCCCGGAGGAATCGCGATGACGATTGATACGCTCGACGCGTCGTTATCCACAGACCACGAGTGTTGAGAGGAATTCACTATAGTGTAAGTAAATCGCACGTTTTACATCCTTCTCGCCGAGGCTCGATTTTGGGAGATGACTGCGACAGCTCGAAAATTGATTCTGCATTATGTTAATTTTATCATTATGCTTTATCTTTTGTTTTAATTTTAGCAAAGTGTGCTATATAAGCATCATTATAATTATTATTATTATTAGAAATTATTAGAAATTATAAAAATTCACATAAATATTAATGAGATTCTCTTTGATCGAATATAACTTTCTTCACTTATTTGTACACAGAACGATTTTGCTGAAATATCTAAAAATTTAGCTAGAGAAAATTTAGCTACAGATTTAAAAATAACTTTGTTGGATCATCAATTACATAGGAATCTCATAATGAGCACTGCAAGAAGTTTTGACATCTAGTAACTACTAACTAGTTTTCATTCTAGTAACTAGTTTGAAAATTTTATATAATAATAATTATTTTCATAGTCCGATAAAATTGTTTTCAGATCTGTATCTAGCTAAACTTTTAGATAGCCTGCAAAACAGTCCTTTTTCTACTATTATTATTCTTGAAGAAGATATAATATAAGACCCGTTGTGACATTGACTAACATAGCGAAGCTTATTTTGTATTCAGTTAGTTATGGCACAACTGTACTGTGGTCTCCTTTATTTCATTCCTCTTGTAGACAAATTTTCTTGAAAAATCGCAATTTTCCAAGAACAACACTGAAAGCTTACTGAATCTAATTTTTAAACGAAAAGATCCTTTAGTTGAATTTTCGTTTGACTTTTGCCTGTAAGATTTCTAATGACTACGAGTGAAATTATTAATATGGAAATTTGTCGGTATTTCATAATACGGTTAATATTATAGGTGCAGACTCGAGAAATCGATTTATAGGATAGATTAGAGACCCTATAACAGAGTTTGACCACGATCGATTTTATCAAAATTCTACGAAAAAGAAAGGTATATATAATTTCTCCATCTTCTACATATATATTATCTCATTCTAACTTGTACACTCTAACTGTCTCATTCTATAATTTTAAAGTTATAGAGTGAAACAGTATAAGTTAGAGTGAGTAGTATATATACAGGGAGAAATTATATTATTAATCATTATTAATGATTATAGTTTGTCATCATGCTTTCACGAGACATGTTTTTTACCAAATTTTCACAAATATAAAAATGACATCGGAGAAGTGCTTTCCCCATCTCTGAACGTAAATCTGATTAAAGATATCAATTACGAAGATGAAGCTTTGAGAAATTTATTTTGAATTTATTTTGAAGTAATTATCTTTAACATATTCGGAAAATTTGAAGGTTTTTATTCAAAATTTTAGAAAATCTCATACGTCTCGATGACAAGCTATAATTAATGATAATGATAATTGGATGTCATAACTAAGTAAATGCTTTTCAGTGAATTTAATGTATTTAAATTAAAATATAATTTTAATTTTATATTCGGTTTTTTCAGAAAACTGTTCATTATGTTCTTGTGCCACTATACCTTTCTTTTTCGTAAAATTTTGACAAAATTCTCGTAACCAGACTCTGATATTGAATCTCTAAGGTAGACGTAAACAACATCTTAAAGACTAGTTTCACAACTTACGGCTAACTCTTAATCGAGGTTCAACTTGTTTGAATTTTTTCAATTCTAGAATTGAAAAGAGATATTGAATAAATTGGATCTTGATTAAGAGTTAACCGTAAGTTGTAAAACTGGACCTAAAAGCCTCTTTCACCAACCCTAGATATCAGGAAACTTTTTTCCTAGAATGAAAAGTGAAAAATGAGAAATTTTTAATTAACTTCAATGGTTAAAATCACTTTTTATTTTCCATCTTAGAGATAAAATTTCATGATTAATATCCTGATTAACGCTAACCGAAGGTCAATCACCATGATTACCAACGTGAAAACTAAACACAGAAGAGAAAGAAAGAGAAGAAAGTTCTATTACATTAAACTGCTGTTGGTTGCTTTCTGCGGGTTCGTCGATTAATTTAACCAGAAGTTGGTGAAAGAGGCCCTCTAAGCCGGTATCCTGGCGTTGTCATGCGTTTTCATGCGAGCGCCGCGCATACAATAGTGGTCTGTCAGAGTCGGTTCGCGAGCGCAACCGTGGTAGGGGCACAGATCTGCCGACGATATCTCCCTCTTTCCTCACTCGGGCTCACTCTTGTGGAGCACCGGCATCGAAGGGCTGCAGTCGTGATCGGATGATCGGCGAGTACGGATCGTTGCCGGTCGGAACACAAAGTGCTTGATTATTAATTTGGTCAGAGGGAAAGAGAGAGAGAGAGAGAGAGAAATAATCTCGGAGCGGTGAATTTGAGGAAGCTGAGAAATTTTGCATGAACAAGCGATCACGATGAGCGACATTCTTCACGAGCATTCCTCAGGTAAGGCTGATTGATCTTACGTATGATCGCGCAAAAGCTTGATAGCGTTATTTGTACAGCTCAAGAAGAATCTATTTATTGACATTTGACAAGTAAGCGCCCGGAATTAATCATGATAAGCGTATCGTCAGGATGACAGTAATGCTTTAGAAATAATCAATTGAATTGTTGTGCAAAGAATCAGTATGCAGGAACGTGGGCTCTTTATAGTTTTTGATGAAATATTTTACAATTATTTTTGGAATATAAGTTTAACTTTTGGAATTGCGGGATTTAAGTTTGAAAAATATGATTTAATCGAATATCTTTCGCTATCTAATGTAAATTATTGGAGGAAACGTATATCAGTATATCGAAAAGATCAGTAATTATATCAGAAAAGATAATTTACGTGTCGTTAACATTGAATATTTCTTATATATTTTGTATCACCACGCATAAACTTCTACGTATTACTCTGTATTATTGAGATGAGAAACATCTTAAAGTTAATTTTGTCTTGATTACTGACATTTCTATTGTATGTCAACAGAATACTTAATTAATTTGATACGCGAATTAATATAAATTAATATTAATATAAAGAGAATATTTAATTTAATATGATTATTATAAATTGATTATTATAAATTGATTGATTAATAAATTCATATTAATATTATAATTAATATAAATTTGTCATACCTGCATTCTATTTATAGATTGGTTTCGAATTTATCCTATTATCGCTTCTGTATATCGCGAAAAAATTGAATTTCCCAAGTGAGAATAAATGACGGAAATTGATTCTATTAGTAATATATATTTTAATTAAATTGTCTGTAAACATGGAAAGATGAGATTCCAATATGATTTCAAAAAATGTATTTGTGATATAGACTTTGATGTACAGATGAAGAGGATGTGACGTATATTTTTCAAACAATAACTTTCATTATATGTTTCTTATTTTGAAAACGAGAGCTGTGAACTATTTATTCGCTCACGACCTTATCAATTGTTTGAGAAAGTGAGGGTCGATATGCTTCATTAACTTTTAACGAGTATGTGTATTGTTACACGCTTATATATCCTCCTCTACAAAGCTAATTACATCGAATATGACGTTCATTATTCACTGCAGTCAGTTTATTACTTCAAGAATAGAAGTGGACATAATGTTCTGTGACATATGTATTAAGACACTATTCGAAACACGTAGCTGAAAAAACACTTGGATTCTATTTAGACATCATAGACACTTTCTCTCGATTTTTTATGGAATACAAGATTGTACTTTCAATCAAAATTAAAAGGATTATGATCATTGCTCCCAATTTTCTTAATTTTAATCTTAATTTTTAACACTACACAAACAAATACACCTTGACAATTAAATCTAAATTAAATTCTTTAATTAAATTAAATTGCCTTAAAGGCAATTTAAAATTATTAGACAAATAAATAAATCTTTTTAATTTTTTTTCCAATTTTTTAGGCTTGATTTGTTACATCTTTGCCGATTATATAAATAATTTCTCATTAATGCATTAATATTAAAATTTCCATTTTTTCAAAAATTATTATCAGAATTTGGAAAAAGGTATTTTGGATACTTCATATTTCTTAAAATCTTTGTTAATTAATCGTCGCGATTGCGTTTTAGTCTTCTTCTACCGATCATCTTCCATATCGTTCTCTTTCTTTCTCACGACACTTTGACGAATGAGTGGCAGGCTCTCTCGCAGAACGAAGCTTAAATGACATATCTCGGTGTGTGCGCACCGTGACATGAAGTCATTAAAGAATTTCTAAGGCGTCGGGCAACGGCCTGCCTTTACCAAGCTCATTATCTGAACATTACAACTGAGAGTATATTTGCTATTGTACTTTGTATGTACGTATGTTGCGACTCTTCTCCGTTGTCCTCTCGCCGCAATTAAGCCTGCCCTTAAAAAAACGTGTGATGCTCGTTTCTGAGAAGTTAGATATCTAATAATAAGCGATTAGTGCTCAGTTAACAACAAACATTTGGCAATTCACGTTAGTGTTAAATTAGATAATAAAAAAGAAGATAAATTAGAAAATTTCACCAAAAATTTAGATAATTAAATCTAAATTTTAATGGTGGACTATTCATTGTTTTGAATTAACATTTATTATTATTTACGGCTTTACAATTCTGTGCACGGGGGATTTTTGCTGAAGTACCTAAAAATTCAATTACATACAGAAAAAAAAATAATTTTGTTGATCTTCAAAATAATTATGTAGAACACTTAATTGCTAAAATGTCAAAACTTTTTGCAGTGTTCAGCATGTCTAAGATTTCTACGTAATTATTTTGACAATACAACAAATTGTTTTCTAATTAAATACTTTTAATTAATTACTTCAGTAAAACTGTTTTTTTTTTTATAAGCAAAGGAAGCTTATTTTAAACAGCGTTTTCTTAATGCAAGGCGCTCGTTGTCGCGAATCTGTTAAAACGCATTAAACGTCTTCATTATCTCGTAATAAACGTAATAATATTACTAAGTGCGAAACTCGATGGTATAATAACGGAACAACGATAATATCGAAGGCGCGAAAACGTGCCAGACGCGTCCATTCATGTGTACAAAATCGTTTTTAAAATCGTTTCCTGGAAAACATGTGCAAATGTGCATTGTTTAATGACGCGCATCAGCAGTTTTACCAACTTTGCACATCGCACCGCTACGGATTATTGTGACCTATTTTTTTTTAAAAACCATGCTTCATTCTTGTCACAAAACATAGAGGTTATCTATTTTTTCCGCAACACAATTATCACGCACGTCCATTAGAAAGCTCGTGGAGCGAATTATTCTAAGCTGCACGGTGCTTCGGATTAGCCTTTACGGCTTCGGCATTAGAAATGCTTACGATATTTCAATACTACGTGAGTGTCGATATCTTTCTTTCGATGCTGAACGTAGACTCTTCATTCGACGAGCGCGAAGGCGCGAATTTAAAGGCTTGTCAGTCATCGACATAGTTTACGGCGAGATTAATGAATGCGCTATCGTCAATCGAATATCAAGCTGATCACGACAGTAAACAAGCGATGTCGTGATATAAGTCGCGAGAAAGATCTTCGATCGTCGCGTTATCGTGACTATCATCCTATCTCACTTCGTGGCTAGAGATCCTGTAAGTACGATTGCCAGTCACCTTTCCGGTTTTCGGCTGAAGGTTTTTTGATTAAATCTCAAGCTCTCTCCGACACATAAAAAAACTCTCCGGCTAAACTCTCCTGCATTTTTAAATGCACGTGTCAATTTTCCTCCGATTTTTTGGAAAGATATCTCCGACAGGAGGTTCACATCTGACCTAGTTTACACAATACACTACAAAACAATTTCAATTTCAACTCTGAAAAATAGAGAGAAGTGGATTTAAATTAACACACTAATTCTTCAGTCACATATACAGTATATATAATTTTTATCATGTTGGTATTGATATAAACATCAATATAGCGTAGATAAAATACCATGGGTTTTAAATTCACATCTATATTTTTTTAGTGAACAATTTCGATATTAGTTATCGATGTGGCAGGATAGTGGGATTTTCAATAGGAGGTAGATAAAAAACGTTTATCTTTCTCTGGGATAGATTCTCTAAAAATATAAAATTAGGAAAAGAAAAGAAATAAATAGAAAAGAAAAAAATATACAAAAAGTACAAAGCTATAAATATAGAAAAGTAAGCGGTAATATAATGTATGAA